CTGTGTTTGAAGGTTAACGATAACATGACCGTTCTTAACATTTTTAACATGACCATGACCGACGATAACATGACCGTTTTTATGTAATCATAAATAGCAGAATGTCGATTTCTGAGTTTTGTTATGAGATGCACTATAATGAATGATAGAACGATCTTCCAGTAATGTAAGGTGCAGTACGATGGCTTTTCAATTTTTGTTTTAAAACTGTCGTAATTTTGAACGTATTTGTTTTACTCAATTCTTATAGAAAATGATATAATTTATATTTCGTTCCACACTTTGTCATGTTGTTCTGTACGGTTTACTACCCCAATTTTTCCCTTCCATGACGGATTAGACACTCAGTGGAAAAGCTAACAACAAAATGACGAATCTCATAAAAGCGTATTAACAAGGTTTTGCTGCGTAGAAACATTACTTTTGATTCACATAAGTAGCAAAAGCAGGAAAAATCATATGGTAATCATTTCCGATTAACATTAATAAAAGTTTTCTTTTTTCCTTTTTCTCTCAACAGGTATTTTCTTGCATAGAATTTGTTGTAACTTTGCACTCCATTATGAAATTATGTGCAAACGTTGAAGTAAATTCGCAAAAACTGATGTGGCAAACTTTGCCTAAATGGTTTTTGTTTGTTTTTTTTTGTAGGTAATTGAACCTTCACTGAAATAAAAGGGCAAACAAATGAGAAATGGACATTTACCTTGCCGGTGTGAAACGAGTTGCTTGATGTGCGATGATTCGCCATCAATATCATTGGTTTCGAAATTGGATGCGGAAGTGATCGTCGTTGGTGATTATTTATTTACTATAATTTATTTTTCATAATTTTTTGCCTTCTTAATAGCCGTCGATTTGTTCTGCATAATTTTACAGCAGAATAATTTTAAGAGCTAAAGGGCCCAAAGGCGATCTAGAATAAATTTCAGTTAGATGTTTGATTGAACGCATCGTGTGGTTCCACTTAAATTTTTGATTCGTCATGAACTTTGATGAGAGACCTGGAAAGAAGGAGGTGTTGAAATTTTAATAAAATCAATGGTTTCAATAGTGGGTGAGAATCTCTTGAGTATATCAAGCCATGCTGTTCAGTTGATTAAAGTAAAATATATATTCAATGAAGTATTCTAAGCAAATATATTGAACGATATCTTCAACAGTCTTCAGGGAACGGGCCGGCCGGCTTATCGTTATCAGCATTTCTTTCGGGCTGGTTACCTTTTTACTCTCCGGAAGATGGCCCTCATCCTAATCACCTGATTCATGAGAAACTCGTTGAACATGGCGAGGAATCATTACTCGACCAGGTTATTTTTATGAAGTATCTTCAAACTAAAAGTTATAGATATTTAAATTATAATTCACTTAGCGAACGTTGTCTAGTGGGGAAAAATCCCCTTTTGACCAAAACATCCAAACAGTAATTAACTTTAGGACTTTTCTTGGCTTGATGATTGTATCAGTATGATGAATAATGGAGCAAGACCACTTTCATTACTATATGACACTTTGGTGCGCCCTAATGCTGATACTGGAACTCCTAGCAGATCGAAGCTCTGTTGGATATACGATCGTAACCGTGCTATTCCACATTTAGTAGTCGCTCAAACACCAATTGGCGGATCTTGGAATAATTACGACGATGATGTAAATATTCTCTTTTAAGTGCAGCTGTATGATTGGGGAACTTTACAAAGGAAATAGTTTTATTTTGAACAACATACATTTCAGATGTTATCGGTCAGTGTAGGCAGTTTTCTGGATCTTCCAATTTTTCCTGTTGCCGATTGGTGTGGTGGAAAAAAGTTTGACAGTCGTCTTCCAGCATCACTTTACCGAAAATATTTGTCCGATTATGCGAAAAGAGTATATAAAAAAAAAAATATCATTTGCGGTTTGAAAGTGACGCACATAGAGGTGATAGTTCAGAGTTTTCGTTCAATAGAGGCGTGATATTGGTTCATGTAAAGTATTGTAGATGACCACTCGGTCCGATGTGTTGCGTACGCTAGCATAGACTATTGGAAGAGATTCTTGGTGTTAGTGTAGTTTAAAAAAAGGCTTACTAGACTATAATTTTTTTAGAAATGTTCAAGTAGCTGCATGGAAGGATTTTGGGAAGTTCGCGGCACAAAAAATGGTGAACCGGTTTTGTTGAGATGTAAGAAGGTTGTATTAGCTTGTGGCAAAAATCGGGATCGATTACTTGGTGTAATTTTTACTTTTCTTATGTTCATAGGATATGAAAAAGATGGGATAATACCGTAACTGGAAAAACGAGAAAAGTAAAATGTTTCAGGGACTTTTATGTTTATGCTTGGAACGAAAAAGGCAAGGGAAGTTGCGTATGATTTAAGCAATTAGACGTTACAATGACGGGTTATCCTAAGAATTTTGCAAACCCGAAGTTTGTATTTTCAGGTAAAAGGAGAATTAGAAGAGGATCGCATTGTTTACAATCTTCGCGATTTAAAACGACTGCTTGCTTCACAAAGTACAGCCAAATTTTCGAAGGAGAAAGTTGTGGTAGTTGGCGATGGAGTTAGCGCTGCGGATTCAGTATTACATTGTCTCAATTTATGCATTCCTGTACTTCATGTAATACGTCGCTCGGACAAGCAACTACGATGTAAACTTTTGAAATAAAAAAATATTGTAGAAACCGTGAGCTATATAAGCCTGCAAATGGAATTTGATTTTTGTTTATGGTTATATTTTTCTCTTTTTTTTATTTCTGGTTATATTTAAGAATTTATGCCGCAACTAATCTTTGAAAACTGCCATATCCTTATCATTACTGAATATTGATTAAAAATTGCCCTCTGGAATCATCAAACCTTGTTTTAGTTATACAGTTATCACGCCTTAGTCCATCTCTCTACCCAGAGTATTCAAAAGTTTTCAAATTAATGATGGGACATTGCAAAAATTGTTACTATACCAAAGTTACATGCGCTACCGTCGAATCGTTAAATAAAGGCACAGTTCGCATCAAAAGTCTTCAAGGAATTTTTACGGTAAGATTTTTAGTGTGACAACTTCTGTGCGCAAAGTGTTGTATTCACTACTTTGGAATAAAAAAAAGAATGATGCCGTAAAACACACATCACGACATATTGAAATATGAAGTGAGACTTTGCATATCGAAAACGTTAATTTGATTCCAGATAACAGTCTACACGCTTGACAAATATTGTGTCATCGATGGTATCTGTCTAGGAAATCATTATTGTTTCTTCTCCAGCGAGGCGAAATTTTATCTTTTTCAGGAACATTTTCGAGTCTTATGCGTGTGCACCGGTAAACAGTCAGATCTCAGCATGTTAACGGACAACTATACATTTCAAGATTATTATTGCAACGAAGACCCATCGCTTTTTTGTATCGGTGCATTTGCGGGCGACCACTTTGTTCGATACCTTGTTGGTAAGATATATGTGCAAAAGTAAATCAAATTATGAAATTTTTGTTTAGTTTGACCATAAGACTTAGCAAAGATTATCAACTACTGTAACATTTTCTATATCATTTTTGGAATAACAATGCAATCTGTGGAGAAAAAAACTATTACAGGAGGTGCAATGGATGTTGCTCGATATCTGATGTAATCTTGATTGCAATTCACTTTATTCAATCAAGTAATGATTCGTTGGCAGTAACGATTAACACAAAATGCTTGCAATGAAAACAGTTTAATTTTTTTTGTCATGATCATTACAACAGGAGAATATTGATTTTGATTAAAGAAAATGAAAAATGAAAGAGCTAATTGGAAATGTGGTTATTTTCTAGGTGTAGAACCAGGTGAAACAGTATTGCGAGCATTCTTTTCGTATGCAAAGAATTTCGCTATGATAAATTCAAAATTTCTAACTCTTAAGTACAGTAGTTGTTATAACAACTCATAAGCAGACACTTTATTATATTTTTAGAAATAAAAAACATAGAAATAAGTTTTTTCTTACAATTGTGCTGGTGAATTCAAGATGTAAAATGAATGACGGCTATAATGTCATTATTTGTTCGTCGTTCTTATTTCACTGAACGACAAAACGGAGAAATACGGTGTTGGTTTCTTAATTTCTGGTAGATACCATTTCAAATACTTGTAACTTTCAAATAGTCATTATTTGTCAAACTATATAATAGTGAAGAACGCATATTGTTTAATGTTCGAAACTTTCTAAATGAAAGTGGTTGGTAATGGAGTATTTCTGGGTAGCAAGATCAGTTTTCGGACGAAACGTCAGGTCTAAAGGCATTTTGAGAGTTAGGCAATTCATAACTTTTCCAGCTGAGCATAGTTTTCAAATTAAATACATATTGCTTTACAGTGCTGTAAGTTACGATTTTTTAAGCCTGCAAAGTCCCAAGATTTAGTGGAATGGAAATTTATTGATCAGATGCTATTGACTTCAGTATTACAACCTTTGTTTCCATCATATCTGTTGCCAATTCATTTTAATAGATATTATCTACTTGTCTGTAGCGATACAGTTCAAACATATGCGATGTTTTTTTTTTTTGGTGGCAAATGTTATAGCAATTTGTCATTTAATTTTCATTCTTAGGGAGATTTGGGATTTTAAGTCACGAAACTTTCCCGTAGTTATTTATCGTTTGTTCTTGTTTCTCTACTAACGACCGACATTCTGTTCGAAATTGTCATGCATATATACATGTAAATATTGCATTACAGTGTTATACTACTAACAAAATTCTTTTGACATAAATTTATTCATAGTTGTTTACACATTCAGTCCAGAAATCCGGCAAACATACAGAGAAGTTGCTCTAGACAAAAATGAATGTTGTCCTCGTGAGATCCGGTGGAAATTTGGACAGAAAAGTAACTCTTGCAAACTGCTCATTTAATTATTTTAGGTTAGATGGAATGGTGTATGAAGTTCCTCTCACAGATACTTTAAATCTGTGAGTTTCGAAATTACCACACCAACAACTGCTGTGAATATAAACAAAAGTGGAAAAATTCTATGATGAGGACGTATCGAGTGGTCAGACTGGACTGAACACAAATCACACAGACATCCGTTAATCATTATGTTAGAAATGACTGAGTACTTATCATTTACCTGATAGCACTATGGTTCCATGTTTAACAGAACTGTTTCCAGTGTACATGAGACTGTTATCAAAAACTTCGGATTTTAAGCAAATTTCTTGGGAGCTCGGAAAGTCAGGCGAACAAAAGCAATCAAAAAAAAAGGTCACTGTGAATACTTTATCAATTCGAAATAATTTATGTGAAGAAAGTTGGTAAAAGAGCTATATAGAGCTCCACATAATTTCTTAAATTTCAGAGTGTATGGTATGATCTAATATCTATCTGAAATTTGGAGAAATTATGATAGCTTAATTTCAGTGATAAGTTTTGTCATTTTGTTGTTAGCTTTTCCACTGAGTGTCTAATCCGTCATGGAAGGGAAAAATTGGGGTAGTAAACCGTACAGAACAACATGACAAAGTGTGGAACGAAATATAAATTATATCATTTTCTATAAGAATTGAGTAAAACAAATACGTTCAAAATTACGACAGTTTTAAAACAAAAATTGAAAAGCCATCGTACTGCACCTTACATTACTGGAAGATCGTTCTATCATTCATTATAGTGCATCTCATAACAAAACTCAGAAATCGACATTCTGCTATTTATGATTACATAAAAAAACGGTCATGTTATCGTCGGTCATGGTCATGTTAAAAATGTTAAGAACGGTCATGTTATCGTTAACCTTCAAACACAGAAATATTAAGAGCTATACTTTTAAGGACGCGCAACTGCCACTTGAAAGAACAAAAAATAAAGACGGAAAAAGATCGGTGTCTGTTTTCTATTTCTACG